GGGCCTCGAACCCGCGGGCTCAGGTAATCCACTCACCTCAGCCTCCCAAAGGCACGGGATTACAGGCTGAGCCACGGAGCCCGGTTAACAGCCATTATTTCTTCAACTACTTTTTCAGCCCCACTCTTTCTTCTTTTGGGACTCTGAAGACATAAGCTTTTAGATTTGTTATAGTACCATAGGTCCCCGAGTTCCTTTATTTATTTTAGTTTGCTTTCTTTTATTCAGATCAGGTGCCGATCATAATCCCAAAAGACAAAACCCTGAATGCCATTATCGCAAATGATGAAATCTCTAACGTCTAATTGACTCCCCAAACCAAAATGAAAGATGTAAAATTAGGTGCTATCAAGGCTTCTAAAAATTTCAAGGTGTGAAATGAATTAGAATTTCAAACTAATAGTTTTCTCCATTCAGCCCAAGGCATTTGGCAGGAAAGTCAGGTAAGTGGATTGGCCACACAATACATCAATGACAAAAACTTTTGCTGGGCATGGTGGCTCACACCTGTAATGCCAACACTTTGGGAGGCGGAGGCAAGGATTGCCTGAGCCCACAGGTTCAGGACCAGCTCGGGCAACCTGTTAACACCTCATCTCTGTGATAAATCAAAAAATTGGCTGGGTGTGGTGGCACACACCAGTGGTTACAGCTTCTTGGAAGGCTGATTTGGAAGGACTGCCTGAGTCCAGCAGGTTGAGGCTGTGGAAGTTGTGAGTGTGCCACTGCACTCCTGCATGGGTGACAATGAGATTCCCACTCAAAAAAAACGAAAAAAGAAAAAAGAAAAGCATCATTTTGTCTGCACTGGCATTCCTTCCAGCTAATGAAATTCCAGCTTTTAATGAATTAAAGCCACATTTGCCTGAAGAAGCCAGTGAAATTACTGACGGTTCCACAATGATTATGTGGGTAGTAGGACAGGAAGACACTTATGCAACAGTGTTGCTGTTTGATTACCAGTTTTGTTTCAGCCAAATTTATGGTCTGTGTATGAGCACAAGTGGAATGAATTCTGCATAACCAAAACATCAAAACGTGGCACAGAAGATGGAAAAATTTAATAGGAATGCTCATGTTAGTGTATACCAAATCACAGAAATTTCAAAAAGAGCAGCACCATGTAGAAAATGAATGGGAATATACTCTGACAAAGGCCATGCCCCCAAGGGAAAAAAGCAGCTATTGTGATGCTGGACTTCAAAATATACTTGGAAAGTCAACAATCTCTTATGAACTACCTCTGTGTAATGGCCCATAATTCAATATACTTTTTCATACACCTAAATTCTTTTTAAAATTTTTCCATTTTAAATCTTTTTTTTTTTTTTACAATTTGCTATGCTGTTTCATCTTCACATCATTTCCAACACTGGAAGTATAAACTGTGTAAAAGTTTTTAAGATGTGACTCCACGAGTTTATTATCACAACGCTGACTTAGTGTGCTATCACTGTGCACGTGCGTAAACATATTGAAACTTCCTCACTGGTGCCAAGTGGGGGTAAAGTCCATCATCCCACTAGTCCATCCCACTGGTCTCTGTGGTTAACACCCTGGCTGGGACGCCTCATTTCTCCTCCCCAAACGACCTCCACTGACACCAACTGAAATTTTCAGCTCCTGGTTCGGCCTTCTCTGATATACTCCAGCAGAGATTTTGATGTGCCCGCAATACTCAAAAAAAAAAAAAATTTTTTTTTCTTTTCTAATGCCTAGTTAATCTAAGAGGTAAATTACACCTAAGTGTAACTTATTTAAACCAAGGTAAAGGCCATTAGTTTGGCTCCCTTGTTCCTTATCTCTATGCTGGGCCAGACCATGCTTAACACCCAGGAGATGCTTTAGGCCCAGGGGGTATTTGGTCACTGTGCCAAGGGCTTTCACAGACATTCATGCTCACATTCCCTCAGCTGCAGAGACTGACGATGAGCAAGTCATGTGTGTGAATGCCCCCATGTCACAGCTGGTGAGCAGTAGAGCAGAGGCAAATTCTCATTTTCTGGTGCCAATGCTTACTAAGGCCACTTAACACAATCTTTTAAGAAATGACAGTTCAACCGGGCTTAGTGGCTCAGCCTGTAATCCCGCGCCTTTGGGAGGCCGAGGTGAGTGGTTTGCCTGAGCCCACGGGTTTGAGACCTGCCTGGGCAACTTGGCGAGACTTCATCTCTACAATAAATCAAAAAATTAGCCTGAGCCCGCGGGTTCGTGACCCACCTGGGCAACTTGATGAGACCTCATCTCTACAATAAATCAAAAAATTAGCCGGGTGTGGTAGCGCGCACCTGTAGTTCCAGCTACTTGGAAGGCTGAGGCGGAAGGATCGCCGGAGTCCAACAGGTAGAGGCTGCGGTGGCCAGGAGTGTGCCACTGCACTCCAGTCTGAGCAACTGAGTGAGACTCTAACTCAAAAAAAAAAAAAAAGAAAGAAATGACAGTTCAAGTTGGGCACGGTGGCTTGTGCCTCTAGTACCAGTACACTGGGAGGCCAAGGCAGGACTGCTTGAGCCCAGGAGTTCGAGACCAGACTGGGCAACAAAGCGAGACCCCCCCATCTCTACAATAAAATTAAAAACATCAGCCAGCCTTGCTGGCACATGCCTGTAGTCCCAGCTACTCAGAGGCTGAGGTGGGAGGGTTGCTTAGGCCCAGAAGGTCAAGGCTGCAGTGAGTACTTCAGCCCAGGTGAGAGACCTCAGACTCAAAAAAAAAAAAAAGAAAAGACAGCTCAAAGGTAGGAATAACAAACGTTTATTCAGAAATGGATAAGTAATACATAGTCACCCTCCATCCCTTAATGCCTCTTCCTCTCCTTTTGAACAGGAGACACCGATGGGTAATACAGGGGAGTGGGAGGTGGAAAAGGACACAGGACTGGCCCACCACCTTCTCTTCCCCGTTTCCCAAGATGACAGTTTGCAGAGCAGAAGAGGCAAACAGGTCCCCTTCCCCCGTCATTGTACCATATGTCACCCAGAGCAGGAGCTCCAGAGGGTCAGGCAGCTGCAGCTGGCCCAATGAAACTGACAACCAGAGCACACATGGCTTGGGAATAAGGGGAGGGTAAAGCCATGCAGGCAGAATGTTGACCATCCCCTACTCTAAGCCAAGTCTAAACAGTGAGCCAACTGTTCCCAGCACCCAAAAACCAGGTTCTACTGCCTTCTGGGTGCTCTCTTGGACCAGGAAGGGTAAAGTGTGGGAGGAATGTCTTCCAGGTGCTAAATGAAAGAAGTCCACACCCATGCGAAGGGGGTAAGAAGAAAAGCAGCATTCTTTAAAGAATCGGGAAGGGGAGCACCATCAGGCCCTTCCTTGGACTTCCTGGCCCAGGCAACCTTAGAGTCCAGGGACTGAAGCTGGGTTCAAACTCTGGGTCCTCCTTGCTTGATAGACTTATCTCTGGAAATGTGAGTTTCTAGGTTTTTCTTTACTGGGCTAGCCTCAAGCAAGTCTCAAGTGGCTGTAAGGATCTTAGGTTCCCTTTACTTTCTAGGCTGTACCTTTCACAGTACTTGCTACTGATTCTGTAGAGTTGCCAGCATCCTGCTCCCCAGCTTGCTCCAGTTGTGCAGCCTGGATTCCTTTTACTGTCCCAACAAACCAACAGAGGACTGCTAGATGGTACTGGGAGCATCACTGCCTTGGTGTTCAGCGACTACCCCTGGGTTCTACAGTCTTGCCCCAGCTGTGTGGGCCCAGGTTGGGGAAACAGCTCATCAACTTGCAGGCTGCCCTGCTTGCTTGACTCCTCCCCTGCCCACCTCCCCCAGGCAGGAAAATAGGCTTCTGGTCATGGACGGATGAGTCACTCAAAAGTGGGGACAGTACCCCTTGGTGGCAGCAGGATATATGCTTCCTGGCATTCCTCACTGCTGTCCTATAGACAACTGATGCCAGAAAGGAAGAGCCAGGAGCAAACCACCCTCTTCCATTCAAATAATCCCCAGACCTATAGCATTACAGAATGGGAGGCAGAGCCTTTGAAGGGTCCAACTAGAAAGCTGGCATCTGCACCAAAACCAGAGTGCTGAGTGCCATGCTAGACAAGAACTGGGAAGGTGAGCAATGTAAGCCCTCCCAGCAGTGACACCCAGAAGGACAAGAAGACTGGATGGCTATTCAGCACAACTCAGGAAAAAGGGAAATGTGGACACTTGAGAATTTCCTTTGGGCTGCCTGAGAAGCATAGGCTCTCAAGCCAAGAGCTGGCTACACACGATCTTGGAAGAGCAGAAGTTTCATCCAGCCTTGCCACCAGTCAGGCATGGAGCCAAGAGTGAGAGGACAAGAGGCCTATCACAGCCGGGTGTGGTGGCTCATGCCTGTAATACCAACACTTTGGGAGGCAGAGGTGAGAGGATTGCCTGAGCCCAGGGGTTCGAGACCAGCCAGGGTAACTTGGTGAGACCTCGTCTTTACAATAAATCATAAAAAATCATCTGGGCATGGTGGCACACACCTGTGGTTTCAGCTACTTGGAAGGCTGAGGCAGAAGGATCATCTGAGCCCAACAGGTTGAGGATACAATGGCCTTGAGCGTGCCATTGCACTCCAGCCTGAGTGACAGAGCGAGACCGACTCAAAAAAAAAAAAAAACAAGAGAGGAAAAAAGAGGTCTATCACCTGACCCCCCCATCCAGGCCACCTCCCCTGACCAGGTGAGTGGCACAGCTTTCAAGCTGACCAGGCCCTCACAGGATGGCAGGGGTTTCCATTCCCTGCTTTGCTTGAAAAGCTTAAAAAACAGAAAGGAAAAGTAAAGTCCTTCAAACAGCCCCTGCCCTGTATCCCATGGGACCACAGGAAAGCCACTCAGAGAATTTAGTGTACCATTTCCAGATAAGAAACCAGCCTGGGGCTAAGGTTTGGGGAGAAACACTCTGAGAAACACAAGCCTACCTTGGGTGATGAGGTGGAGAGAAAAAACACTACAGGAAATGTTAACGTACAGAAGAAGAACACAGGGAAGAACAAACACAGAACGGCGGGTGCCCTCCAGTGAGGAAGCTCTCTACCCCTGGCGGCCCTGCCCACGCTCAGAGGTCTCCAGTCCAATGGCCCATTGGTCACAAGCCTTGCCTTGGGAAACAGAGCCACCCTCCTCTGCCCCCGCTTCTGGCTGCCTTACTCCCCTGCTCAAAGTTTGATTTTGAATTCTGTGGGCTGTGTGGTCACAGAGGCCCCTGAGGACTTGAAGAGCGCCTTCAGGATGGTGTCAGGGTCCACTTCAGCAGGAGGGTTAGATGAGGAGGCAGAATTCACCCTGCGAGGCAGCTCACTCTCCTTTTTCACTGAGGGACTGTCACTCAGCCGCCTATGGAGAGCAAAGAGTAAAAATCCTTGTCAGTTTTTCCTAGATTGGGAGGGCACCCACCATTTACTGAACATCTGTCATGAACTAGGCACTGGGTGTTAACACCTTCATCTCATTTCATCTTGTAGTAAACTACCACTTTTCTTACTGATGAGAAAACTGAGATACAGCCTGCTAAGTTCTGGGGGTTTTAAGTTCAAGAAACACTGTATGTCCCTCCTGGATGGCAACACACATTATACACAATTGGAGAGGCCCAAAAGTAAATTTGATTTAACTCTGTTTAGCTCTATGGTCATCAAATGTATTAGGTCACAAAATCCTAAGCAACCTTTTTAGAATACAACTTGCAGGGCTTGGTGGCTCAGTCTGTAATCCTGTGCCTTTGGGAGGCTGAGGTGAGTGGATTGCCTGAGCCCGCGGGTTCAAGACCCGCCTGGGCAGCAAGACCTCATCTCTACAATAAATCAAAAAATCAGCCGGGCGCGGTAGCGTGTGCCTGTAATTCCAGCTACTCGGAAGGCTGAGGTGAGTGGATTGCCTGAGCCCGCAGGTTCGAGACCTGCTTAGGCAGGCGAGACCTCATCTCTACAATAAATAAAAAAATTAGCCGGGCGTGGTAGCACGCGCCTATAATTCCGGCTACTTGGAAGGCTGAGGCGGAAGGATTGCTGGAGACCAGCAGGTCGAGCTGCAGTGGCCGGGAGCAGTCACTGCACTCCAGTCTGGGCGACAGAGTGAGACTCCAACTCAAAAAAAAAAAAAGAATACAACTTATTCCTGAAATGCAGTTTAAGAAGCATGTCCAAAATCACATTACTGAACTAAGGGTTCATATCCTAGTCTTTCTAAATCTCAAAGTCTATCTCTAGCCTGCCCTGTACTATCCCAACCACCTTGGCAAGTCTAACCTCTTCCCTGGGTATGTGGCTCCTTCCTAAAAAATGATGTTCCCCCCAGTCTCAACATTTTATGCATCTCAGGCTCAAAAAAAGCCCTCAGCCCTGGGCCAGGCATGCATGCACAGGTGTGTGTAAGAAACAAGGTATAAGGCCGGGCATGGTGGCTCACGCCAATAATCCCAGCACTTTGGGAGGCCGAGGTGAGAGGACTGCCTGGGCCCACGGGTTCGAGAACAGCCTGGGCAACTTGGCGAGACCTCATCTCTACAATAAAAATAAAATTTAAAAAAAGACAGAAACACGGTATAATGAGCCAGGTATGATGGCTCACATCTGTAATCCCAGCTACTTAGGAGGCTGAGGCAGAAGGACAGCTTGAGCCTAAGAGTTTGAGACAAGCCTGTTCAACAAAGCAAGACATGTCTCTACAAAAATAAATAACAAAAACCCCCCACTGGAGAGCAAAACGAGGGGCAGCACCTGGCACTGTCCCCATCACAGTCAGTCATGAAGAGGTAGAGTACTTTGTTCACATGGACGATGCACACAGCTGTGCAAAGGAGACATGAGTGGCTATTCTCTGCTTTCTCTCAGATGTTTTTCAGATTGCAAGGCTGAGAACAAGATCATGATGCTAACGCCTACAGGGCGTTATTTTCCCAAGGAAATAACAAAGCAAACCACTTTGGTCAAATGTAAGCATTTTGAATGACCAGCTAGCTGCCATCTGAACAGAAGAAGCGGAACAGGGGATGGAGGAGAGCTGTGAGGCCGGCAGTTTACCTGCCTGAAGGAAGGAGACAGGCAACTGTGCAGAGCAAATGAGCGGGAAAGCACAACCCAGCACCCGCCTTTGGAACTTACAGCAGGATGGGCTGGTCTGAGGTGATGACGTTCCCATTCATGTGAAGGTTGCACTTCATCGGCTGTCCTAAAAAAACCAAAGAGAAGGCTCTGAGGATTCAGCTCCTCACATATGTAGACAGTGCTGCACCTCCATGGCCAATGGTCAACGCAACCACCACAGCTGGCTCCACAGCGGGGGACAGGGCTACCAGGTTCCAGTCAAACCCAGACACAAGGAAAATCCCAGGGTGTGAGGAAACCTCAGCAAGGAGCAAAGCAAAGCAGCCTCAAAGCAGATGAGAGAAGGGGAGGGAGCAACTGGTCTCAGGGCAAAGCCAGTTGAGCTTGCGCGGGGAAGCAAGGAGTAAAGGGAACTGCTTATGCCGTCAAATTAAGTGAAGAAGCCGGGCTCGGTGGCTCAGCCTGTAATCCCGCGCCTTTGGGAGGCTGAGGTGAGTGGATTGCCTGAGCCCGCGGGTTCGAGACCCGCCTGGGCAACTTGGTGAGAGCTCATCTCTACAATAAATCAAAAATTAGCCAGGCATGGTAGCATGCGCCTGTAGTTCCAGCTACTTGGAAGGCTGAGGCAGAAGGATCGCCGGAGCCCAGCAGGTCGAGGCTGTGGTGGCCAGGAGCGGCCACTGCACTCCAGTTGTGTACTCCAGTCTGAACGACGGAGCGAGACTCCAACTCAAAAAAAAAAAAAAAAATTAAGGGAAGAAAGAGGAGCCAAGTTATGTTCAGACTTCAGCTCTATGGTACAGCCTACTGTTCCTCAGCTACATCCCTGGACAGCATGTTACTGTACTGAATACTGTAGGCAACTGTATTTGTATATCTAAACATAAAAAGGTACAAACTACAGTATCCTGTTATGGGACCACCAGCACATACATATTCCATTGTTGACCAAAATGTCATCATATGGCACAAACAAATTTAAAAAGTAAAAAAACCCTACAGAATGGGAGAAAATAATGATAGATCATTTATCTGATAAGGGACTTACATCAAGAAGATATGAAATAACCTTTATAACTCAACAATAAAAGAGAACCTAATTAAAAAGTGGGCAGAGAGTCTTCTGAATATACATTTCTCCAAATAAGATATACAAATGTCTTTCCACATCCATGCATGTAGCAGAATAAAAGAAAAAACAATAAAAAATTAACAGATATTTGAAAGTTAAATAAAAACAAAGACAATTTTTTAAAAAAATGTACAAATGGCCAATAAGCACATGAAAAGGTGCGAAACACCATTAGCCACCAGGAAATGCAAATCAGAACTACACTGACTCACCCAGGTGAAGTCCCCCAGGTGCCAACATTTAAACAAGGCTCCAGGCCTTTGAGGAGTCTGTGTCCTAGCAGGAGACCAACATCTGAAAGGGAGGTTTGACTCTTGGCTTCTCTGGCAAACCCGGTAAGAGAATCATCCATGGAGAAATGGCATTTCCCTTCTTGCTGGGCTCAAGTTCAAGAGATGGGTGAAAACGGGGCCCTGTGAAACTCATAGCTCAGAACTACTCAGAGGCTGCATATCCCTGCCTGTTCCTGGTGCCCAGGAGGGCCCAGAGGGGTGATGGTACCAGGATGCCCTTCCACCCATCTCAGAGGGAGGCTTTCCCCAGAAGGTCTGCTGCCCGACAGTAACAGAGAGCAGGAGGGGAAGGGGCTGCTTTCTCCTTAACTTACCGTCCAGACACCGGTTGTTGTACTTCTTATATGCAGTGATAGCATCATCCTTTTTCACAAAGACCACCTCGGCTACCCCAGGATGGACCAGTCGAGCTCGTTTGAGGGCTCCACACACACAGAAAAGCTCCTGCAGAGAACAAGAGGGGTTGGGCCTGCCAAAGAATTTCTGGTTGTGGCCATTCACACACTCCAAGAACTCTGGGATGGCTGGTGGCTATGCTGCAGCTAAACATGCCTTGAGCCCAAGATTTCAGGGAGGCTCCATTTCAGGTGTTCTTGAAACACTCACAGTCCTCAATATGGCACCAGATGAGGAACAAGCTGCACTGCCAGTGGGAAATGGATCTGGGACCTCCCAGCAAGTCACCACCAAAGTTCTCAGTGTCCATATTAACAGAGATAACTTAAAATTACTTTTCTCAGACAGCTATGTCATGAGAAGGAATGTGTAGGTTCACCAAAGACAGTTGCTAATATGTCACCTAGAAACCTGCTAAATATACAAATTTTGGCTAGGCTTGGTGGCTTAGCTTGTAACCCACCAGCACAAGAAGAGTGGATTGCCTGAGCCCGCTGGTTTGAGACCAGCCCGGGAAACTTGGTGAGACCTCATCTCTACAATAAATAAAAAATTAGCCGGGCGTGGTAGCATGCACCTATAGTTTTGGCTACTTGGAAGGCTGAGGTGGAAGGATCCCCGGAGCCCAGCAGGTCAATGCTGGGGTGGCAGTGAGCGTGCATGCCACTGTGCTCCAGCCTGGGTGACGGAATGAGACTCCAACTCAAAAAACCCCACAAAAAACAAATTTTTGGCTGGGAGTGGTGGCTCACATCTATAATCCTGCACCTCCATGGCCAATGGGGTTTTAAGTTCAAGAAACACTGCATGTTTGGCCGGGCTCACTTTGGGAAGCCGAGGTGAGAGGATTGTCTGAGCCCACGAGTTCGAGACCAGCCTAGGCAACTTGGCAAGACCTCATCTTTACAATAAATCAAAAAATTAGCCAGGCATGGTGACAGTTGGTAGTTCTAGCTACTTGGAAGGCTGAAGCAAAAGGATCACCTGAGCCCAACAGGTCGAGGCTGTGGTGGCCGTGAGTGTGCCACTGCACTCCAACCTGGGCAACAGAGACTCCAACTCAAAATAAATAAATAAATAAAATAAAAATTTTAGAAGTCTAACCAGACTGACCAATGGTTCCAGTTTGGCTGGACTGAGGGGTTTCATTTCTGAAACTAAAAAGGACTGTACTAGCTACCTCTCAGGGTTACTGGAAAGCTCAACTGAGAAAATATTTAAGGAAGTGCCTTGCACACATTATCATCATCCTGACTCCAATGCCCTCCTCATTTTACAGACAAGGACACTGGGGTCAGAGAGGGAGCACAAAGTGAAGAAGGACAGCAGAGACTGACTAGCACTGAAGCCATTTCCTCACCTGCAACTGCTTTCATAAGGCTGTTATGAGGGCAAAGAGAAGGTTTATGAAAAGGTCCTTGAAATGATTTGTTTTCAGCGATAAAGGGGAGAAACATTAAATATCAAAACAAGGATATGGAACTACAGCTGTCCCTTTAAACCTGCAGGGACCCCTGCAAATACCAAAATCCCTGGATGCCCAAGTCCCCAATATTAAATGGCACAATGTTTACATATAACCTACATACAAACTGTTATACCACAAATCATCTCTAGATTACTTAGAATACCTAATACAATATAAATGCTAAGCCAATAGTTGTTATATTGTACTGTTTTTTTAAGTCTGTACTTTATTATTATTATTATTATTATTAGACAGGGTCTCACTCTGCCATCTCTCCGGAATATAATGGCATGATCACGGTTCACTGCAGCCTTGAACACCTGGGCTCAGGTGATCCTCCTGCCTCAGTCTCCTGAGGAGCCAGGACTACAGGCACATACCACCACATCTGGCTAATTTTCTAATTTTTCACAAAGACAGGGTCTTGCTATGTTGCCCAAGCTTGCCTCAAATTCCTGGCCCCAAGTGATTCTCCTGCCTTGGCCTCCCCAAGTGCTCTCCTGCCTTGGCCTCCCCAAGTGCATTACAGGCATTGGTTTTTTTCATCAAAAATATTTTTAGGCTGGGCGCAATGGCTCACGCCTGTAATCCCAGCACTTGGGAGGCAGAGGAGAGAAGACTGCCTGAGCTCAGGAGTTTAAGACCAGCCTGAGCAATGTGGTGAGACCTCGTGTCTACAATAAACTAAAAAAATCAGCCAGATATGGTGGCACATAGCTGTAGTTCCAGCTACTTGGAAGGCTGAGGTGAGAGGTTCACCTGAGCCCAAAAAGTTGAGGTTGCAGTGGCTGTGAGTGTGCCACTGCACTCCAGCCTGGGCAACACAGTGAGACTCTGATTCCAAAAAAAAAAAAAAAAAATTTTTTTTTCCCAAAATTAGTCAGATGTAGTGGCACACACCTGTGGTTCCAGCTATTTGGAAGACTGAGGGGAAGGATTGCCTGAGTCCAGCAAGTAGAGGCTGTGGTGGCTGTGAGCGTGCCACTGCACTCCAGTATGGGCAACAGAGTGAGACTCCAACTAAAAAAAAAATTTTTTTCAATCTGCCACATCCATGGATACAGAACACCCAGATATGGAGGGCCAACTGTAAATATTAGTTGTAATTCCAATTTTATTACTGTTGTTCTTTTAACATTACCTATCTGGTTAGAAAAGAAGTCAGGGTAATTCTGCATAAAGTGTGTGGCACATAACAACTGTTCCATAAATGGTAGCTATTATTACTCTTATAATCAGAAAAAAGCTTTCTTTATGACTTGTCAAGTATTACACTTGACAAGGACACAACTCCCATTCTTGTGTGCACTGTTCCTAGCACTGTCCCTGCTAAAGGACGACATACTGGTGGGTCTACTTAGTTCTAACATCAATCACACAGTGCTTCTGTGTATCACAATTAAGACTCTTTTTTTTTTTTTGAGTTGAAGTCTCACTCTGTC